AAAAAATCTTAGAATTTTGTGCAGTGAAAATCGTAGCGGGGATTTGTGAAAGGGTAATTACGACTTTTAGACGGTGGTTATTAAACAGTGGTAAATGCACAGATTAGTATTGATTACGCGTCCAAAGTGTTAACGAACAAGTTTGATCAGTATCAGTTGAGATTTGAAACCAAGAATTTAAGCCTCTGAGAAGTTACAAACTGTGTAAATTTCGCGTGTTAATAAATGAATTTAAAATGAGATATTGGCCGCTGGCGAATTAGGTGTGCAGGTATAAATTCAAGTCCAGCCGCGACTGCTTTGTTTTTATGGATTTTTCATGCAATTGAGGAGGTGCTTCTAGGTGAATAAGATATCAAATTACCGATACGATATGTGTGCGTCTTTTGACATGAATCCTCATTTGGAGGGATTGCACACATAAACTATTGTCCACCCATTCAACCAAATTGGTCATAAACCAGTATTGACAGCATCTAGAATCTAATGGGTTCAGTTATTTGGCGACTTTCTACGTGTTGTGGATATGAGAATAATTATGATGCATATTTCTCACTTCTCACGTACATGCATACGTATATATTTCCCCTCTTTTCCCCTCACATAACTGAAACTGATAATGAAAAATGCCGAGTTGTTAGAGATTCTCACATGTTTAAATGCATCACGGACATGGCCAACTTTATATCTATAAATTATGTATCGTAAAACTCCAGTAAAGCCAATGCATTCATTTATGCTAAAAATATTTACCCATTTCATTTTAATGGCTAAAACCAAGGCAAATTAAGTTGTTTCATGGCCCATCCAACCAGCAGAGGTTTTGAACTCTACTGCTCTTCCAAAATGGAGTCAAGCGTTTCAAACTTGTGCTGACTTTAAAGGGAGAAAAGAAGGGTCACCGTTTATGCGATTTTTACGGTCTTGGCTTCCAAGATTTATGCCCAATTACATGAAGCAACGTCTTTACTTTTATACAGAGTTATGTTGTACTTCTTAATATATTTATGTTTACATACTACAAATTTACGAGGCCTCCTCTGCACTTACTAAGGACCGTGGAACGACAAATATAAACCCGATTGTCTGAACTGCTCCGTTCAATAAGTTCACTTCTTTGTGCAGCTCGCCCCTTGGTACATATTTTATTTTGGATGAAGATGATGCGAATGTGCCTCAAATTACAATTATTATTTCATACGATTTGTAGGCACTGCAAATGTTACATTATTATTCTAAATTTTAGATCAACAGTCTTCTCAATGAGGTCAGGCGTAGTCTCAACCTGTCAATCGTATCTGAACTAACTCCATTTTTCACTAAATTGTCGAGATTATCGAACGACATATCAGGCTGATTGACAGTTTTTTCACCGGAATACATGTGAAAACTATTTATCAAGTATGTATGTATTTTACATAAGATAAATAAAGTGGGAGGAACGATAAACTGTACACCAATAACAGTTTTAATAAGTATCCGATTTAACCAACCTAATCACAGTCGATTATCCACAAATAATTTTTGGATAATTACACATTTTCAGGTAATTGTTCCATACAATTGTATAACTTATTCAGTTACAAAGTCAGTATTGGCCTACGCTTTTCGATTCTTTTTCTACTTCTCCCCTTACATTTAAATCTGGTTATGAAAATCAAGTTAAATTCACATCTTGATTAATTTTTGTGGTATGGGGCTTCAAGATGCCATCTGATACATATATTTGTCATTTTATAATTGTTAAATTTTTCCCCTATGCCTGTCTACGGTGCATGCTTATCGCCTGAGAAGAAATACCCGTGACCAAGTAATGTGATATGGAAGTTGTCCGATTTAACTTTCAAGTATATAAGTTGTCATTATCACGAATCTGATGGCATTTCAGTGAAACAAAACAAAACCAATTTATGTTCATTCCGAGTATGTCTGTCATACAAGATTGATAATGCCAGCGAGCGACGAAGCTTGTTCCCATTCATTGCGGATTGAGATGTTCATGTTGATTTTGAGTCAAGTGGGTTTTGAACTGGCTTTCAGATCTTATCCACCTCGAACCAAGCCCTTTGGTTGCGAGGCTCCCTTATTACGTGCCATTCGTTCCTATTACTATCCGTTTTATTGGCCCGTTACGATCGAGTTGACTTTAACTACACTATTGGCTTCTTCTCAACGTTATGATAATTCAAGGGAAAGTCAGTCCCGATTTGCATTTATATTTACAAGGTTGGATTATTAGTTATCGAGCAATTAATTTATAGCAGCGAGATCATAAATACAAGCTATTATTCGAAGGGTAAGGTGAAATAATTGGTGTATGGTAATTCTAGCGGAGCAAGTCACGGTTTGGTGCTTAAGTTCCAATGCCCAAGAAAGTCCGAGAATATTGCAAACGACTAAGTAAGCCGTTTGTATGCTCGGCCAAGACTGGTGCGCTCAAGGCGGCATTACAATTGTAGTGCAAAGAATACACTTAAAATGCTCACGTCTGCAATTCAGCCATACGAGAGAGAAATGAGAGAGAAAGAGAGATTCTATCATATTTATTTATGACTTAATATGCTGCTTATTCCTACCCAGTTGCTGATTTCTTAACGTAATTCCCACTGCCAGTAGTTATTTGTCTTCACTTATCCTCTTCAAGTGTCTGAGAGAATTCCATCGCGTAATGGTGGGTGGTGGGCGGTGGTAATGTTCATCTGTATTTGATTTTCAGAAACCTGCTGCTATGCTGGTCCGACCATGAAATCAGCAGTGGTAAAGTAACAGTGCATCATGAAACCTTGTACCCGTAATGACACGACACAAAGTTACATAAAATCCTCGTTGTAATGCCATTATTTGGTAAATATTATGATTTTTCTACTTGTAATTGTAATTGGATAGCGATTTAATGTTAGTTGGCAGTTTCAGGTGAGTAGAATTCTCTTTAATGTCCAAAATCACTGATTTGAAAGTGGTTTGTACTCTGACTACTCATGGCTAATAAGTATATGCGCTGCAATAAAACTCACGAGTTCATTTCTGGGCTTTGTCAACCAACTATTTCAATTCTTGCCACAAACCCCTGATCCTTGTCGCAGATGTGCACAACTAGCTAATTCTGAGACCCATTAAGTAAAACAAGGAGACAATAAAGACAATTAAAGAATGTTTGAATTACGTAGGACTGCAAAGACTGGTAAGTTGTTGGATTATTGAATAACCTGAAAGACTGAGAACTCGTTTTGATTTCCAAACAAGCCACGAAACTTGATAAAAATAACGCAACATGCCAAACTCAAATTTAACTACAAACAATCCAAAAAGCAATATTGGTGGTGTGGGTCATTAATCCAACCGAAATCCGCCAAGTAGTAAATCAACAAAGTACATATTTGCGCACATGTACGTGGAGGTTACATATATATGCAGACTTGAGTTAGTTAAGATACAAACTGGATCTTAGATTGGATCACAGCACATTATATTAAATTTTCTGTAATGAAATTCAATGATTTGGCGAATTTCCAGCGGTTGTTAAGAAGTCTTGTTAACACTGTGTGATGAATTTTCAAACTCCAGATATGCAAAACAAAAACAAGGATGAAAAACAGTCAAGTTACTTGAGAAATATTTACGAGTTGTGTGGATTTACAGGTTCCTTCAAATCCAAAGTTTATTTAATCCCCATATTTTGAACAATATGTTGCATCTTGTTTAGAAAATATGCACATGGAAAATAATTTCCTGTGGTATTCAATAATGTGCATCCTTCATGATACTAGGACTTCAAATTGTTTCAGTGGATATTGGCCATGCACTAAATATGTGCACAGAGAAATATGTAGATCGTGCCTAATTTTCACTCCTCTTCTTACTGCAGTTTTCCCAAACTCGTTTTCCCCCAAAACTGTCAGAATGTGGAATAAAAGTTGACAAGATTTAGTCGTTGAAATTTATTTACTATGTTTGTTATCTTCGATATGTGAAGCAGTAGTTATAATAAAGTTGGCAGTAACGATGGGTGTTTGGAAAATGTCTTGTTATGCCAAGTCAGGCTATTCCACGCAACTTGTACCTAATATTTTGAGTGCGACATATTTGGTTTCCCCTTCGCTCGATCCGATCTACTCGATTGAGCCAAGAATTGCTTTTCTCCCGTTCCCCACAAGATTCTACGTTTGTCTGCACCCTCAATATTGGGACCAGTCAGAAGATAAAACTCAATTGTTTTATGTGACAAATTGAATGCCAGCGAAAATATGCAATGAAATACCACGACCCTTCATTACTTAAAACCGAAAACAATTCATCGTTAACACAAACATCTGAAAGTAAAAATATGTACATGCTTTAATGCTCTGTCAAATATAATGTCAATGTACACACACAAGTCAGTTTCTGCATAGTTGTCGTACCATCCTTTGTCTGCGTACCGGAAGTAGTGCACGTACATAAATGAGAATAGGATTTCGAACAGATTCGGGTGTTTTGTGCATATGCATTATTAAGGATTTTTAATCCGGTTGTTTATTGGTCGGCGATGAAAGAAGAGAGAACCCAACTAACCGGCGTTATTATACAAGTATCCAGAGTTGAATTGTAACAACTAACTTACCAAAGTTGCCTCTGTTATTATTATTTTTTTTGTGAAACGGAGATCTATGTACGTATCTCTAATGGAGCTATCTATATAACTCGTTCTCGTCGCAAGAAACATTTCTCGTGGCCAGTTACGTAGGTTTTCTATTATTCCGTGCTGTAGCTGGTGGTGAGACTGGGTTGACTTTTATGCAGATGCAGAGTTAAGCGAGGAGAGGAGAACATGGGAGAGGAGGATGGATTCGTAAAAGCGAGAAATGTGAAAAGGAGGAACCCCTTGAAAGAAAGACGGTGCCCATAATAATACAAACCTACTGACTGAGAGCTACATCCACACGATCGAGGAGAGACATTCGTAGGAAGAAGCGACTGAAACAACGTGTGAGCGAGTAGTGAGCATACCACCAACAACCAAATCAAATAACCCTTTGGCTCTCCACTTTTTATCCTTTTTCTTGCATGCACATGCTCCTCTCGCTGTGTTGTGGTAGCGGTGGTTGTGTCCTTTCTTATGCACGAAATTCATTCTCAAACCAGTGCATGGCTCAAGAACAAGAAACTAAAAAATTAACCGCACAGCAACAATACGAGAGTAGAAACTGTGCTATTCCTCGTCGTTCCGTCCGTCCCAGTTCTGCTCCAGCATAAGCAATTTTTTCCACGATAACGATACACGACCGAGTGTCCTCCATGTGTCTCACTTTGGATCAGTATGCAGTGCTGCATATTTGTACGGCTCGAGAAAAGTTTTGTTCTTTGGGTCATATCAAGAGTGATTAAAGTAAAGTAATTTTTCATCTGCAAAACTATTTTGGTGTGAATTGTACAAATCTAAATTTGAGTACGCCTTGCTGTGTTTAATTGTGGAGACACGTGGAGTTTGAAACCGTGGATATTAAGGCGACAAAGACATTTTCATATCACTCGACTCACTCGCGTGGCTCAACGCACATGCTGTTTCAAAAAATGTTGGGGTTTTAATTTCTTTGGATTGGTGCATGCAAAATTCTCAGAATTTTATCAATTTTGTGATAAAAATTGATAGCCGTAAGAACGACATCTGGATGGACGTGAAATAATAATTGACTCGTCTTATTTGGAAAGATATCAGATCAAATTCTGACTCAAGACATGCACATGAAAGGTGGAAGTGGTTCGTAGATTAGTGTTATTATCAAGTTGTTGGTTGGTGCTGTGTTGTAGCTTAATAATGCAGTTGCTAGCGAATAGGTGAACGACAAATTATTTACGCAAACCAAAAACTATGTTCAAGTTTTGAATTTAAGTGAACTTGATTTTCTAATTTACCTGATGGATGCATACATAACATAATAATAAAAGTGGAATTGCAACTAGTTGATCCATTGATTTGGCTTGATAAACCTCTTATGGTTTGGTGAACGAACCAAGAATGTACCAAAAATCGTACCAAAGTTAAAAGTGATCTCTTTTAATTTGTTACGCAGCAGCAGTATGTACATTTGTATGTACGTATAGTAATGTGTATAAGGCAAAGCCGGGGTTTACTTACGTGCTGTCATATACGTATGTAAGTAAGTACAGGTTGTCAATACAGCCTTTCGATGTACACAACTTGTTTGACTCACATTTCATAAAATTATAAATTGGGACCAATCTACCGGTGATCCTTTTGTTTTTATGGCAGTTAGTGTGAGCCAATATGTTGGCGTTACATATAATAATATAAACATGGAGGAAACTTACAAAGATGGATCAAGTGCATTAGTCACACTTTTCTCTCGTAATAAAAATGTTTGCCGTGCCACGAAGGAAACTTTGTAAAATATTGCTCTAAACTCCACAATCGATCACAGCCGTGTCACCGTTTAATTGGGAGAGGTTGAAGTGGAAGTGATCACTCGTTTGAGCCATTCGTCTAAAATCTGACCTATTGCCAGAAGTGCTCATGGGAAGTGCCAAAACATTGGAAGCTTTAATAAATTATTTTCTCTTTCTCGAGCTTGACTCGGCTCAAGATTTTGCTTCCTGATTTATGATTCTATCTCTCAAAAATGATGGAGCTAAGTGTTTCTCAGAGTGAGAAAAACCAAACTAATGGCTCTCCCTCTCTCCACCACCATCAATTTGTGTACCCGGCAGATCTTCGCGTCCTGGGTTACGCACTACCCGCCGCCCTCTCCGCGACCAACAACGCCGCCGCCATGATGCACCACCACCACCAGCAGCAGCAGCAGCAAAATCTGATGATGATGAGCCCCCCCAGCCCCACAAACCTCTCCGTCGCCCCGTCCTCCGGTTCCTCCAGCATCGGCTCACCCTCGCACCTCTCCTCCGCCAACGGCTTCAGCCTCCCAAGAAATCTTATCTTTTCGGATCCAGAGGTTAATTCATTCCTTGAGTTATCACATTTTGCTTAAAATACGAAAACCCAAATGGTGAAAGCACACACGCCATTCATGCACAACATATTTTTAAAATTCCAAGTAGAGTTTTTGCAAGTTTCAAGACCTTTTAGCGTCTGTTGACATTAATATTACTATTACAGCACATGTACTACTGGTAATTTTTGGAGGGTGGGGAATCTTTATGACATTAGCTTGATAACACCACGTACATATATTTACTAGCACACGGTACTTTGATTCTGCCCGCGAGGGTATTTTATGCATTATGACCAGTAGTAGCAAGGAGTATGTACATACGTACGTAGTGAAGGGCGGGTGGAGATGCCTCACCTAAAGCAAAACCGGCTAGCAAGAGCTATTTCCTTTAATAAACGGTTCTAAAAGTTTTATTCCACTTCATTGGTAATGCCATCATTATAATCCAATCAAGCCAAGACCCACGCCAAGGTTTTTGGCTGTTTTGTGGATGTGCACTTGCGTCTTGGCCATGCTGCAGGGAGGTGGATAAAGTTTTTGGCTCGGAGGAAGAATCCCATCTTTGCTAAAATGGACTAATGAGAAGCATTTATATTTTTCAGAATAATATCAATCATTGTGTGAGGATAATAATACTATGTTGATGATGATGTTAATGATGATCATGTCGTGTACTTCTTGGTTCCGAGTACATGTGCTGCATGCAAAACTCTTTCAATTCTCTTGCGTCAACCCAGAACCACTCCACCAAAACTTGTTGTGCATTATCTTTTCTAATTTATGACTTCGTCCAAATGTAAGTAATACAAAGAAGAGGTTTGCTCATGTAGTTGGTCTGGAAAGTTGAGGCTCAATTCGTGATTGAATTAAGAAAATATGCTGCATATTTTACCTGAATTAGGAGCAGTGAGGAGGCACAGCAGTTGATTAATTTAGAGGCTGATTATAGTCGTACCTATTCTGCTCAGTTGTATTCTTCTCATTAAGATGGAGGATTATTCCAAGAAGAGTGAAAGCACCGAAACAACAGAGATAAACTTTTTGCTTAAAAATTCTACTCCTCGTATGATAATTACAAATTAAACGTTTTCTCCGGTGAAGGAGCTGACGGTGAGAATCTTGGCAATCTTTTTAAAAAAATGTGGTACTCACGCAGTCTTCAAGTCACTCAGATGACTTGAGTAATCTTTAATTAGCAGGCAGAAGATTTTTTAAGAAAATTACTGCATGTGCATCCAAAATGTAATGTGCTTTATTAATCATGCTTCTTTATGTGAGAGAAGGACACGGGAGAAACAAAGTGGTGATGAGATGAGTATTTTGACGGTTCGTGAAGAATTCAGGTTTTTCCAAGCCGTCAGAAAGCTGTGGAAGTGGAGACTTGTTCTGTTTCTTCTTGATGGAACGAGATGCGATATGAGATCCGAGAAGAATACGGAGGAGAGGGATGCACATCAAATGCGTTTAATAATTAGGAAGCTGGTCTTTCAGGCATTTCAGCCTGAAATGCTACTCTGCCAGCACTGAAGCACTTGCTGACTTTGAAATGGACTAAACTCCTACTCACAATTGAATAAATCATTTCGATTGCTATCAATACGGGCTTCTTAAAATGTAAAATATGTAGTTGGAGAATATAGATCTGCATTAATCCAAATGAAGACCCCCTGCTGCACCTTTTATGTTTCTCATGTTTCCTTTTTTATCTCACACTTGTAATCTTGTTGCAACCTTTTGCCCAGCAGCCAAAAGCCATCTTTTTGCTGCTCCTTCAGCTGGTGGTGGTGGTGATCCTCTACTTTCCTGTGTTCAAAACTGCTCAAATTATGATGTATACAATATTTATGATAAATGTGTATTAATTGACGCCAAAGCAGGTTGTTATGTTTGATTTATTTTGTTAAATGATGGCATGACACGGAACCGATGGAATACACAAAGAACAAATTTCTGGCAGCACAACAGCACCCTGGTGGTGGTTGCATGGGCTTCCTTGCGGATTTGTATGCATTCTAAGAGTTGCATGATTTATTGTCATTGAACTCTTTGTAAAGAAACATAAACGATGCAAAAATTACAGTATTTAATATTGTGAAAAGAGAAATGTTTACTTGCCTAAAATCTCCAGATGCATAGGAATAACCATCTGCAAGAATATGTCATGTTAACAATAGTGTATATGTACCTATCTAGAATAATCCATTTGCATACTTTTCTAGCATTTCTGAGAACTTTAAAAGTTAATTGTTAACGAGTGTTAATATATTTATTGAATGCAGTAGTTTCTATTTCTAGTTTCTTTTTAGCACTATGTTTGCTGATCGTGACATTTTGCAAATTGAAATGTCATAGAATATGTCACTGATTAATTTGAGCAAGAAAAACTTTTAAAAATGACACATGTCAGAAAATCCAATAATTTTAATATGCTTTACTATTTGTCAGCTCAGCCTAACTAGTGTGCTAATTTTTAGTCAGCAAAAAGTTTGTGTCAACCAAATATGACACGCTTTGATGAGGCAGGTGACATGATTTGGCAAATTACGTTGTGAAATTTTATTCTATTTGGATTTAAAACTTGACTTTAAATTAAATTTGTCGGAAGAATCATTGACATTACTTTGACTGGTCATGTCGTGGTTACGCTGGTCTCATATATGGTTGACTTTTGCCGAAATTTTCAAGTTGACAGTTATGTAGCAAGACCAATGTACGCGTATGTACATATGCATGTACAAACATACATATCTTGATGTCGGATATCGGACTCAATTGCTTTGCAATGCAAGTTGGGTTCTACTTTGCTTTGAATTACTAGAAAATTGTACCTTATCCAAGAAAACAATTTTCTTTTATGTATTTTATCGATTGGGAAACCTTTGAATTGTAATGTGTCAATGTTTAATCTACATCCCAATCGGAAAGCTTTACTGACCAGATTGACTTATCACAATTAACGAGTCACCAACCGATTTTTATGGGCTTGGATCGCATGTCACGTGTAGTTTCTGCAAAGCGTAAGAAATGTGAGCAAGACCGATGCGGACAAAATATTTTTGTTTGTGAGACAAATTAAAGAAAGTGTGTACATATTTATTAGTATTACGCTTGGATTATTTCTTAGTAAAATTGGAATGGCACAGAATGTTGAATGAAATCTTATTGTTATCGAAACCGTGTATGGAGATGGGAACCTGGATGATAACATTCCGCATCCATTTCTACGAAAAAATTACTTATGTTCGTGCGCGGTTGTGCTGTCAATCGTGATTGTTTTGCAATGTTCACATTGTGATGTCAGTGTTACGTTTACTGCGAGTATGTACGTATCGTATGCATAAATGGCAAACCTGCTGCTGGACAACATAAAATGGCACTTACGTCATCAACAATTTGTGTACCAGCCATTTCTTGAATGAGTAAAAGCATGACTGGAAAGATGTACCAATACAATTTGGTCTTGGCCAAGTGCAAATCGTTATACATTCGTTATTATCTCCAAACCGAGTAAAAAATATTTTTTTATGAAATACCTGACTCTCTCTCTCTACCACTCTGTATGTAAGATACACCTTTAGATCTACGTTTTTATGTACCGATTGGATGCTCAATATTGTCAATACTTTTGGTAGTGCATGTAATAGGGTGTCGAGAAGCACATCTTTAGAATTAATGCATGTTTCATAGCCCCTTCAAAGATTCAAGTGACGAATTATCATATGTATATCAGACATACGATAGAAACACAATTTAAAATGTGCATATTTAAGTGAAATAAATTGCATTAGTTATCTGGAAAGAGAAGCATTTTTGGTGTCTCAACTGGATTAAGTGTAACGACCAGCACTCCTGCTTTAAGGAGTCTCCCGAGTTTTGTTGAGCACAAGACGGCTGAATTTTCGTGTCCATGAATAAAAAATGGTGTAGATGAGATGAAACCTTGAACATGAAATTAATAAAAGGAAAATCTAAGGTGTTACTCAGTCTGCCAGCACACACTTCATTCGCATGATCATTATTATCCTTCGTCTGTTTTATAAGAATGCCTGTGTGATAGCGCAGCCGAGAGGACTGGAGGAGACTAAAATAAGTCTTAGCTAACAAGAGTGACTCAACCAATAAGACCAATCTTTTATGGAGTGCATACTGAAATTATACTGAAATTACACCCGTTTTTGTCGTCGTATTGTCGAAATGCTTGGCATAGTACAATTTTACCACAGTTCATTCCATTAATTTCCTTTGCTTATGTCTTTCAGTTGGAATCAAAATAGTTTCAATATTAAGTATTAAAAAGCTCGTTTGCTCGCTCTTTTGCACGTTCGTTCTTCATCTAGTCGAGATTCATTGCATGCATTCACATATATGTACATGCAGCCAGTGACAACTACAGTGACCTGAGATTTTTCGATGGGGGTATGTATGTTAGAGGCTCTGCACAGCTTTTAGTTGTACCAACAACTCCTGAGTTGTAGTAATTTTTCACGAGTGTACATATTGATTTCGTCACGTCGAGTATTAGATTAGAATCACGTTAGCTACACCTGAGATTAAAAATGCGTTCATGCAGAACAGCGCTAATCGTAGTCGTGTATATTCTCTCCAGGGGAAGCATTGCTTAACTTGAACTACTTTTACAAAAAAATATAGACCCAATAGTTATCTAAGATTGCTCTGATAAGAATATAAACTTTTCCGTGTTTTGCTTCCACTTATTTCTTACTTTCACTATGTATATCTCCTTTTCTTCCATCTCATGCAATGTATTATACCGCACATTCTTTCTTGAACTCTGCAGAAAGCTGCCTTTTTCTGGGCAAATAATAGTGGTTCAAGTTCCAATGTCCACGAGCAAATCTCATCATCGTCCCCACGACCGACTCGAGATGATCATTTCAACACCCGGGTTATAGACAGTCCTAATAATTCCCACCAGCAACATCCGCATCATTCTTCCCACCAGGTACCATTGTCCAGATATGAAGTACAACAGAGACTGGAAAATCACAGCAGCCCGGCCTCCACTCACGACGAGTTGACCCAAGACCACTCCAAGAGTCGAGAAGCAGACCACGGGGGCAGTCCCTCCCAAAGAACGTCGCCCCCGCTACACAGCCCCCCGTCCCCAGGTTCCATTTCGACCGTTTCCATCAACCCACACCAGAGCGGACATATTAGAATACGAGGAGGAGGAGGAGGTGGTCGCAACGGGAGAGAAGAGGATTTATCCGACGGTGTCGTGCCTAATTCAGGAGCTGGACATGTGAGCAGCACCAGCAATAATAATGGGTCAACTGGAGAGACAACATCGACAGGAAATAACCTGCAATTGATGAATTGGATGTCGGCTGTCATGGCTGAACGACAACTTATTAATCATCAGTCCTCTGTTGATGGGGTTCATTATGTTTGGAACGGTGGTGCTGGCGAGGTATGTGCTGCGGTCTATGGTCTCTGTCCCTCGCATAATAGTCTTGGTTTGCTTTTGCTTCTTCAACCCTTTTTTTACCTCATCGTATCTCACATTCTGCTGTCTTCTTCTTTTAATCTGTCCCCATTCACTTGTTGTCTGGCATTAGGGAACAGAAACTCTTTTGAACATCCCTCATTCTACGTGCATCTTATGTCCAGACTTTGTGAGGTGTAATGGGCTTTATTGCAGAGCAGGGGGTAATTATAATTATGTTTTCAAGGCTATCTTTTCAGGTAACTCCTTTTCGATTTAATTTATCCATACCTCACGGATTCATGGACGGATAGGCCTGATTAGAGTTTCATCTACCCATTCGCACGAATTGAGCTTAATAGCACATTAATAACCGACTAAAAATTCTTATCAATAAATATGTAGTTTAATCATGATGGTCGGCTGTGAATGCTGAGTACCTTCCTATGCACAGGAACATTATTATCTGAATATTCTTTTTAATATTCTTTTAATTCCTAGAAATTCCTAAAGTTGTGGTAGCTCAAGAAACTCAAATGATATTGCAAGTGATATGGATGCACTACACCTAAACGACTGATTCCCATGTCTGATTATTGGACAGAAATCAACGTCATTTTCCTACATTTGACATGGGACTTATTGGGACACTTTCTGCTACAATACTGACCTAGTTCACAGGACTTATTGTGTGTATCTTTTCCCCCATTGGAATTTTACTCCTCTTAGAAATTTGGCTAATAAATAATATCAAATATTTTGCATCAAGATGATGTGGCATCTAAATAGATACGTATCTGTCCATCACAAACATCGACAGGGTGTGAATAATTGCTTAAAAGTTTAAACCAGAATCGACACAGCTTGCATTGCGAGTTAGTTAGTTAGTAAATACAGCTTGGCTTGTTGACAATTCACGTATTGCCATTGCAGAGACGCCCATGATACGAGTTGACAAAACTCAAGTGTCACATGTCACCGGCTAAAAATCAATCTGACTTCATGCAACATTTCTTTTTGTTATTGCAGGGCAAGCTAAACTCTCCTGAAAATCATCACAATTCAATCAAATCAGGTAAGCTTCACGAATACATTTAATGAATTCTTGATTGATTGTCAGACTGAGAATTCTGCACCCAACATTTTCCGCATCTACTGATTTGTTTGACGAAAGCATATTGAGAATATTCGCAATTCAAGTTTTAAATGAGATTTCATCAAGACCTCAGCATACCAATAATCTGATAGAATTGTTACTTTGAGAATGATTATCCTTCCTTGCGCAGCGTACATATACGTGAACTTATAGCACTTGTTAGAATTGATATACTCACTGATCAGTGAACACGGCCCATCCTTCCCACATTCTCGTCAGATTATGCATTACTCAAAACCAGTACATTTTCAGCTGTCCCTAGTTTTTTTTCGCATATTTCCAAAGAGCGTGCTTCGTCTGTATACATTGTTTAAGACTAATGACAAGTTAGGACTACATGCATACCTAAAACTGCTTTAATATTTTATGCATGATTTGCAAACGCCAAATCAAATCTTTGGTCAGGTTGTCAAAAGCGGTTGACTTTTGCACAATGTCCACTGAGCCGATTGTAAACTGATTAGATTTGCTCCACGTTTCACACAAATTTTCCACTTGTTGCTATAATTAGATCGTAAAATGATTTGCTAGATTTTGATTTTACAAGGTCGCATTCTACGTATTCGAGTTGTCACCAGATTCATCAAATTACAATCTTTGAGGAATTTCAATTTGAATCTGTCGAATTCGTGATCATTACATGCTTACCGATTTACCTAATCACGTAGTGTAACACTAATTTATCGTAATTTTTATTAGTTGATCAGTCGTCTCCTCACTTGCCCCATTTGTACGGTGCACCCCGATCCAACAATTCGGGTTCTTCAGTTTCTTCATCCCCACCTAGTTCGGCAGGCCTGGTAGTTCCGCAACCTTTGTCGAGTGGACTGGCAAACTCGAAGGGTGGTCATCATCATCCCTCAGCAAACGGCACTGGGAGGAAGTATAACTGTAAAATGTGTCCTCAGGTAACCAACGTTTTTTTAATTGTCATCTCATCTCATTGTCGCTAATCATTCAATCGTTTTAAACAACAACAACAACAGCAACATTGCGTTACATGATAATTATTGAACCATCTGATTTGCAAAATTAAAACTATACGCTTAAATCTTTAAAGCAAAAAATGCTAGATAAAAAATACTCAACACAAGAATGTTGACTTATGATTATTATTTTTCAAGAAGAAACGAATGATGTAGTACTAACCGAAAAAAATAATAATACGGATCGTAGTAATGTTTTCGATAAAACTGGAGGGAACGAAGCGAACAGGGGAATTGAATCAAGACATAAAGATTTATCTCGTAATATTTAAATTAAAACAATAATTGAAATCAACAACAATTTCAAAGATTTTCGTCCGAAAGTCAATTTAAAGGTTGATAATTACCTATAATAATTGAAACAAGTTTTGTTCTGGCAGAGTGAGCGCCTAGCATTCAATTTTGTTTACCCATCCCGTACCAGTTTCATTCGTCGACTATTCATTTATTTTATGACCCTCGCAGTACGAGCAAGGCTGGCCATCATTGAATTCTGATGTTACTTAATAAGAGAGTTGGAAACTGATGCCCCGACACTTGTTCAAATTTATGACTTAATTCGTCTAATTATTACTGCCATTTTTTCTCCCCACACGGTTCGACTGGTTACCGACAAATGGGTTCTTTGTTTCCTTTGATCATTGCATTATAATTTGCTCCTGTTCCTTAATGGCGATTCGTATCGATAAATTTGATGCGAGGTGCGAAATAAAATTGTTGTAGACAACTCAGTGCACTTCATATTTACGATTGTTGTTGTGATTAATTCTCTACATCCAAATTTTGAGCTGATTCTTCAAATTTATTGTGCTAGAATTACACATTATGACGGCATTGTCTATGTATACGCATGCATGGTTTATGACTGAATGACCTTTGACGCTATAAAATGTGGAAGAGAATAGAATCATCAACGTAACGTCAAAAACAAATGAGATTTTTGGAAACCTTCACACAAATTCTGATTTTGATATTTATTCGTCTTGGGAAAGTGCAAGTATGTAGGCATACAATTACATTTATATATTGTATTCCTGCACGCGAATTGCGAGTGAACAAGACAAATTACTAATTTGTTCTTGCCGTTACGGAGATTAGTGATGCACTTTGCCCAAATTTCATGATGGCATGTAATAAGGTAATTAGATTATCACATTTCCTTGAGAATTTATTCTTCCTTAGAAATTATTTTAACTATGATCTCCACGGCTCATGAGATGAGTGCGGTTTGATGTGGTTGATGTCGTGGGTAAATAAGTCTGAGGATGGCAAATTGCTAATAATTTTTACTACAGTAGACGAGTAGCGAAATCAACTCATCTACTTGTAAACTCGTGAACATTTTAAAGCATATTCTTCGAGTGAGAGTATGCACATATGCATGACAAGGAAACTTGAAAGACATTAATTAAGTCATTAGGATGAAAACTGACCTTGGGACACAAGGAGGTTAATCGTAACATTCTTGAAAACAACATGTACATATAGCACGTTTATTCTCACTCTTTACGGATAATTAATTCAGTGTGCATGTGAATGGAGAAAGACACACAGAGAGGAGATATTGATAGTGACAAATGTCTGAAAAATCTCGTGGAACATAGTTTACATACAAACTAACGCCATCCAATTGTTACGGAAATTATGCAAGAATTAACTAACACACTGGGTGTCAGAATAATACATTTATTAATATAATGAAACCGTTAATTTATTTCTTGATATGAGCCTTTACCGTGCTACAACATTGTTTTGTTATTAGAGTTGACAATTAACGGAAATTCAGAAACCAGCAAGTTCAGCAGGATAAAAAGCTTGGATAGTACGTAATTAGTTACAAATAAAAAGTAATTGATCAACTCTCTCGCCTATTCAGAGTTTTAAGAAACCCAGGAAAATGTAGAAAAATTTCGTGTAAAGAATACGTGCACATACATACATGCATAAAAGTACGGAGATTAGTTAAATGGTTGCAGGTAGGAAAAGTCAGTTTTCTTGAGGAGGAAGCAACATCATTATAATTGTTTCAATTTTGGAACAACAAGAAAACAATGCATTAAATTATTGTTGGTTTTGGCCTTGACTGTAACGATGGACTAAACGTAGAATTGATAAGAAACTCTCATGAAGTAAGAAAGCAAACCCACCACGATCCGGCTTTTTGACTTTGGGGCGACCCACATTCATTATTTCATTACAAACTTACAATTCATAATTTACATTTATTTAAAAGGAATCGACAAGGGCCACGGATTTCAGCTTCACCTCTCTCGTCATTTTAAGATTATGCATTGCTGAATTGAATATTAAGCACCGGTTATTATCATATTTTATTCTGATGGTGGTGTGGTGCCAACAATGAGGAAGACCTGCTTGGCTGCTAATGACAGCCAGTAGCCCCAACAACTCGGAGGTGCAACAATGAAGGACGAAAGCACTATTATTTACTGAGTAGGAGAGCAAAAGTCAAAAAAGCCAGTGGTACAGATTGCGATTAAACACTGTTGCTCGGTTAATAATTTTCTGAACTTTTCCCCGTCCACTCCACTTACATATTTACTTGTGGGCATCCCATGCTTCAGGTGTTTCCTCCTTTACATAATCTCTTTAATCAACAAACTATGTACGCCATGACCAAGAAATGAATTTGAATTTAATCTAATGAGAAACAATCAGTGGCTTTCGTTTGATAAGAAGATGTGTGAGCATCGAGCCAGCGTTATTTGGTGATGGGCTAGCTAAACAACTAGATTGGTCACCTTTTCAAACCAACCACCTTGTTACAGATTTCATTCCTTCGAGCTTTTGCGGATGGGTAGCAGTGATACGTCGCAGGTGTGAGTGGAATTTTAAATTCAATTATTTAAATTCTGATATCCAATATGCATCCACTCGACATTTGATTAAAGGGCGACGCTAGGCAGACCTTATTAGACTGCATTTTAATGCTGTGAACTCGCGTACTGCTAATATTGAATTTTTTGAAAAGTCGCAAGTTGAACTGGCAGTCGGTTAATTGATGTACATTTTGGCATATATTTATGCTTACCATTTAAATATGCAATGCTGCATGGTAGCTGTCCTTCCAGGCCATGGCATAAATACATGCATATAAATTATGGTTTCATTGATTGAAAGCGACGGATAAAGTTTAAATAAGTTAATAAAAGTGCCCAAGGTGTTAAATGGTCAACTCTTATCTGCACACTTGACAGCTCTTTCGAATTAGTGAATCCCACTAATTGTAAGTACGTAAAAATTTTTCTTGCATCCTCCAACACATCCTGCACACGGATTAAAGCTTTTTTACGCAATATGGTTAACAGGAATAAATACATGTACGCAAAAATATTAATGAGTTGGAACACGCATTTCCTTAAAGTTTGATACAAATCAGCTTGTACATTTCTCAAGTGTATAGCTTTAAGGTGTTATCCAACAATGTGGTAAGTTATGGTTGGTGGATAATTATTTTTTCTATTGCGTTCAGATATTAAGTACCTGAAATAAATAAAGAGAGGTGAATTTTATGTGTGTTTGAAATCGGGGACGGAATCAGTTGGGAATCCCGACCGACCGAATAACTCTACATTCGAGTTGTGGTTTTTGTAGATGTTTCAGGTGATTTCTTGAAACAAAGTATTTCCTTTTCTTTTTATTGTATCGTTAGGTATGTGAAGGCAGCTTACCGGTAAAATCAGTACCTTCATTTAATGGATCTCTTGCATTTAGGAAGGTTCAAAATTTTGATCTGCGGCAACTTAACCGAGATTTTATGGTTCCTTGTTTATTATCCATTAGATGCTTATTATGTTCATTATGTTTGATCAATTGAAAATTTAACGAAAATTGTTTATCGTTTCGCATTGTATTTTTGCTATGAAAGGAACCGTCAGCCAATGAACAATGAACAGTTTTGCTAATAGTATTGGTTAAAGTCCCTGCGAATTTAATGTGTACATTTGTATGCCTATCTGTGCCAACTTGGTTGTTGATATGCAAATTGTATTTTATTACAATAATTCTGCAAGGAAATGCATACCTGTTGACATCGGAATGTCCTTTTAAATTCAATGAAGGTTACAGTTTTCATACCAATGTGCTTATGCACAATATCATGCAACAGACAATGAGACTTGGTGTCTATTAGCCGCAGTATTTATGATTTTCGTGCTAATAATGCCCATCAGATAAGGCACAAGCCCCATTATATTCTTGAAAGTTGCTACAAAATCGTACAAATCAGAAATTACTGCGCCATGGGGGTTCTCTTTTGCTCATCACCTTTGGCAGTATCTGCAAAATTAAAAACAATATGAGCAAGCCAGGCTGAATTAAAAATTATGATAAATGTCTTCCCATGGGAGAGAGTAAGTTGGAGGATGCAGGAAGGAAAATTCCCTCGGTCGATAGGTGTGAGCGTCGTTTAATTAAATAGTTTGCTGGGAGGTATTCCATGGTGGTGACGATGGTGCTGCTTTCCCAGGTAGTTTGTTAACGGTGTAAGGAAATCAATGTAATCAGCTAAATCTTCAACTAATTAGCAAAATCAAACAAGCACGAAACGTGTTTTTACTTCAGCAAAGTGATGATGGGCCATAATTTTAAATTAAAGTCTATGTAAAATATTATGGGACAACATGTGTAGCTAGCCGTGGCTATAAATTCGACTAGAGTGTTATTAGTCAGAGTTATATTTAAATTACTTGGCGTTCTGCTGATTTTATGGATCGACACAATTCAACTTACTCAAGATTACTTATTTGATCCCCGTACTTAGGATTAGTTCACTTGGGGACTTGCTAAGCTGAGAATTTTGAACTCATTTTCAGGTAATACTGATTGGACTCATTTCTTGTAAACCAAAAGCAAATACCCTGAAGAAAATAGATTAAAAAGAAATATAGATTAAAAGTGCCAGT